CAGGGGGCTCGTGCGTGCGCCGGGGGAGGGGTTTACGCGTGTGCTATGATGCAGTTTACTTGGCATCTGAAAATACGTTTCCTCAAAAGTATTTTTAATCTGAAAAGAGCTTCACTGAGTGAGAAGTAACGTTTAGAGCTCAGCAGACAGTTAGGTTTCACTTTCAATTTCAGCCGAGAGCCTGCAGGAGTCATGGATGGGGTGTGTGGGGAGGGGGGGCGCTCTGCCTTGAGGAAGTTAAGTTTAAAGACAAGCCCCAGAGGCATTCCTGGTACCAAAAGGTGTTTCTGATCCCCACCTGTCGTTTTGCTCCTCAGCATGGCTGCCTAAAAACGCTGCAGGATTTCTCAAACATGCATGAATGAGTCAAAGCAAGGCTTTGGGCGTGTTTTTTTATGAGAGTGTAACATTATAACATGAAATAAAACTCAAAAAAGTTGATTTTACATGATATTGCCCCTTTAAAAGAAAAATTAAAACCACATAGTCATTCTACAAATTTGCCTAATTTGCTCTCAAACATTAAGGGAAATAAGCTTCTCGCCCCCTCAGGAAGAGATGTCTCAGGTTCTGGACGCCATGTTTGAAAAACTCTGCACAGAAGGCGAGCACATCATTGACCAAGATGATGACGGGGATAACTTCTATGTCATTCAAAGGTGCTAATTCAAAACACGTTTACACATTTATTAAATTACCAGTATACATCCAGGTTTTCACAATGACAGTGTTTTATTAAATGCCAACATGTGTTTTCTACTCTTACATTTGTATTTTCCTTCAGCGGGACGTTCAACATTTTCGTGAAGGTCGACGGCATGGAGAAGCTGGTGGGCTGCTATGACAACAAAGGCAGCTTCGGAGAACTGGCTCTAATGTACAACACCCCGAGAGCAGCCACAATAATTGCAACCTCGCCTGGAGCCCTTTGGTGCCTGGTGAGTGAACCAGCACATACTTGTGCAGGGGCACAGCTGGCTCCTGGCTCAGGCTGAGAAACACACCGTGCACTCAGTCAGTCAGCACAAATTAAATAAACACCCAGGTTGTTTGGAGCTGCTTTGGTGCAACAGAATAAATTGCAGTGTCCAGTTTAGACAACAATATACATATAAATCCAGAGGATGCAATAAAATCAGCGTAAAATGTTTTTGCATCTGTGCTCTTCATGCTAACTAAAACAATTAGCATTTTCTGCACAAATGCACTGTATCGCCTGAGTTCTGAATAAATTAGCTGCAATTTGCATAGGAAAATTAAAATGGTGTGCATAAAAAAAGAAAAAAAAGATGCATAAAAAACAAAAAAAAATTGCATAAGGAAAGCAAATGGATGCATGAGGAGACTGACAATGAATGCAAAAGAAAGACAAAAAAGGACACAATACAAACAGGCATAGGGAGACTTAAAGGACAAAAAAGGAAACACAAAAGGACAATAAGGAGACAAAATGTTAAAAAGGAAGCACAACTGAAGCAATTATGCAGAAGTAGATTCCAAAGGGCACAATTTGCAGGATTTGAAGAAACTTTAAAGCATTTCAGTGAAAGCAATATTGTAATTAAAGTGTCATATTTTTAAAGAGGGCGGCATGGCAGCTCAGTAGTTGCTGGAGAAAAGCACCAGCTCCAAAAGCAAATAAATAAAAGTATGGGCAGATGGATGCTTTTTAAAAGCTTAAAAGTTACTGAAAGCCAAAAATCTTTACTGTTATGAGTTGAATGTTTTGGTTCCTGAATTGCTGAAAGTATAATGAAGTAGTTACAATGTCAGAAATCATACAGAAGATACAATAAACAAGAATAAATAAATAATGTTCTTTACTGTCAAGTCAAAAACTGCAAATAAAACATACAGCAACATCTTTTAATTAAAGTCATTTCATGTGTATTTGTGACTTTTTCGTGCAGCTCAGCTATAAACAGGAGGCAATATTTGAACAGCAGCTTATGCTGTGTGGGGGTTGTGGAAAGAATATGAACCATAATTATCTTACCTGTTGCAGATAGTATTTTGAACATTATCAGTTCAGATAAATAATATAAATAAGATAAAATATTAAAACAACAAATAAAGTTTGAACCAGACCAGATTGATGAGCAAACAGCAAAGAGGGGCCGCGACTAAAGTGGATTACTGTCATCTTCACCCAGTTCTAAACTAAAATAATCATAATGGTCCATGCAGAGTTTTTTATACTCCTTTACACTTCTGTGAACTTCATATTAGATAGTAATTTACATAGAATTAGAGGGTTATCTGTGAGCACAAAGAGTGACAACAGCTGCTAGCTGTAGCACTTCGGGTGCAGCCTGCGGCACTTCCTGCAGAAATGTTTCAACTTTTCCATCAGAGTAACCATAAAATTCAAAACTGATGACGACATAAACGTTTACAAAATATCAATTATATGAACAGCTGTTGTTTTAGAATTGGACTTTGGAGTTTTAAAATAATAGAAACCCACTTTTGCTTTGGCTTTCTCAGACTAGTCATAGTTTGTCACTTTGGTCAGAATTAAACTCTCCAAAAAACTATCTTCAACAAGTAAGATTTTAACGGTTTACCTTTTCCATGTAAACCCCTCTTAAAAACATTTGAACTATCTCTTTATTTAACCAAATACATCCTTCACTAAAGCAGTTTTTAATGTAAGCTTTTATTAAAAACTGTAATTTAAAGAACTGTTCTGTGACCTCAAAATCTGTTCCCTGATTCAGTCGCAGCTTCACCCTTTCAAGCAGTTTAATTATTCATGACTCTTTATAGTTCATGTCCTCAAAAAGAGCTCTGTTACGTCATCCACAAGAAGCTGCTCACACTGATGACGTTTTCCCACCACTCGACATGTGCAGTTTAATCAGTCCCTGTTTGACGTGCATCAGATTAGTGGTTGGAGTCTGCGAGCTAACAGAATGTTACAGTGGAGCTTTAACTGGGGACTGTCATGCTGGAGGACTAAACACCCCAGACTGGCTTACTGCTGCAAGGGAAATGATTTTCCTGGCTTGATGGCACCCTCTGCAGCCATGTCTGCTTCCTACAGTATATTTTCTACAACTGAATGTTATTCATCTTGTCCCTTTAAGTAAAAAATGATTTATATAAAACACATTTCTAACATGATAAAATATTACAATGTATTTTACCTTTTGTTGCTAAAATAAAGCAAGATTGTAAAGCAGATGCTTTGTAACTGAAAATCCAGCATACAGTGACACTTACTGCAGAAAGTGATTTTATTCCATCCATCCATCCATCCATCCATCCATCCATCCATCCATCCCAGGTTGCAAGTCTTGTTAAGAGAGTTGTTCCTCTAATGTGAGAGTTGGTGGTTCGGTTCCCTGCTAATCCATCACATGTTGAAGTGTCCCAGGGCAAGACACTGAACACCACTGCCTCTGATGTCCCATCAGTGTATGAATGTGATTTAAAGCATTGATTAGTCTCTAAAGGTTGAGTCACCTGTATTAGCTTTATAGTGAGATCTGAGTGCTGTGTGGATGGGTAAATGAGGACACAGACTGTAGTGAAAAGCGTTTTAAGTATCCTGGTTGGATAGAAAGGCGCGATATAAGTACAGACCATTTACCATTTAGATGACATCATGTATTTAGTGAAAAGGCATCAGAGTAGTCTGGAATTGTACAGAAAAAAGTATCAGAATATATATATATTTACCCCATAATTGTGTCCATGCTATTGTTTATGTGCTTCTAGGTTCAAATATTCTTCTACAAAACGTCTTTTGTAGTGGTCTTTTGTGGGGAAAAATAATGTTGAAATTAAGGCTCCCACATACTCGAGCGTACTGACTACCTGACAAATTCCCTAATTTATTGCAATTTCAGTCATGATGTCAAGGACGAGGAGGATGAGATAGTTTGCATTTTAGCTTTAAAACAACAAAAGAAAAGAACTACTTACCCAGGATCTGAGCTATTTCCTCCCACGGATTTGTTGCTCGCTGAAAGTCTTTTATTCATTGACATATAAAGTTTTCTAAACTCCTCCATGAGACATTTTGACTGCATTTTGTCCACAAATGACATTGATACTTAAATTTATCAGCTTGGTGTTGCATCCAAAACAGTTTGACGTGAACTTGCCGGGCAGTTTATTGTGCGACACCGCGGACGTAAAAAAAATATCTCTGCGCGGACCATTCCAGCGGACGGCCGCTTCGAGTCCGCATTGAGTCCGCCTCGAGTCCATGCGGACTTCCCCAGAGCGAAATACGCCCAAGTATGTGGGGGCCTTTAATGTCTTACCCCTTGTACATAGCTTTTTAAACAACCTCAATTAGTAGAAATTGTGACCAATTCAGACCATATTGATGAGCTAATGGCTAGTCATAGTAGGGCCAAGGACAAAGTGAAGTTCTGCCATCTTTAATCAACTTCATTGTCCAAATATTCAAAGCCATTCATGTGAAAACAATATAGGAAATCTTTACACTGCTGTCAGTTTTGCACGACATGATCGTAATGTGAATGTTTTAATATTCCTGCTGGAAGAGTCCCAGGCTGTACTGGAAATGCTACAGCTAGCTGTTAACTGTGGCAGTTTATGTTTGCATGTAAATGTAAAATTACAAAGGTTTTTAAAATAGTTTCATAGAACACTATGGAATTTTATGGAATTAAGTTGCTTTAAGACTTCAGTTATCCTCTATGGTCATTTCCCTGATCCAACTAGCTGTTAGCTTCTTAATCCAGTCAGACTATTTACAGCAGGTGGTTTATTTATTGTTCATAACCTTTCCACTGAACCACATAAGGTCTGGACTACTGCTTTAAGATGTTTCAGGAGGAGACATTGCACATAAAATCATTAAATTTTTTTTCTTAAAGGGGACATGGCATGCAAAATCCACCTTTTTGGCTGTTAAACATATTTTGATGTGTATCTAGAAGTGCAGAAAAGTTTAATTTAGTCTCTTTCGGTGCTGCATAGATATCTTTATATTCTTGGGTCACATTTTTCAACCCGTTCTGTTTTCTCTATTTCCTATGACGTTTTGTGAACTATTACATCACAATATTTGTGACAGAACTTCTAAATAAGGTCTGGATTTACCAATTACAATTTGGTCATGTTCATTTCCCTCTGATTCTGGGTCAGACTCTGGCTCCAACATGTAAGGCTGGAGAGACAAGTATTGACATCTTTTAATACTTTGTACATAAAATGTTTCCGCGCTGCTATACAGACGTAAACCCCTCTATCAAACTAGAACGGACCACTCTAGAAGCTGGAGGGGGTTGGGGTGTGAAGCGCCTTGTTTGTATTTAAAGATACATCATCAAAACGAGTTGATCTGAGACGCACCTCAGAAAAGGGGTGAAAGAGGGGTTTGTGGAGTTACAATAAGGAGCAATTCAGACCAAAGCTTTGCAGTTCCACTTTATATACCCCAACTGAATGATTTAAATGAGAAAGGGAGGATTTAAAAGCCTGAGATGTCTCCTTTTACATAAAGTACTTGCGTGTGTACACGGTAAAAAACAATCATTAAAATCCATTGTTTTCTTCCATCTAAACCTGTGTTTCAGGATCGTCTGACATTCAGGAGGATCATAGTGAAGAACAACGCCAAGAAGAGGAAGATGTACGAAGCCTTTATTGAAACTCTACCACTGCTTACATCCTTAGAAGTAAATATGAACTTTGTACACCCGGAGTTCACACAGTGCATCAGGAATTTAGGTCAAGACTATCAGCCAACCAAATTTTGTTTTGTTCACAGGTGTCCGAGAGAATGAAGGTGGTAGATGTGCTAACCACTAGGGTGTATGGGGATTCACAGCAGATTATTGCTCAGGTAAAGACTTTTTTAAGCTGCTATAGACTTCTTAGCAAGTATACAGAGGGGTTTTTGTTTTTATATCAATATCACTTTGTCCAACAGGGTGATTTAGCAGATTGCTTCTACATCGTTGAGAGTGGCCAAGTTAGAATCACCATGAAGAGAAGCCGGGTATTTCTTTCCTCTTTAATTTAAATACTCGGAAATACCAATTCAAATGTAGTTCCCAGTGTATAAACTGACTTGGGAGGTGTCTCTTTGTGTGCATTTCTTTCATACCAGACAAAAAAAGACCAGGAGGAAGAGGAGGTGGATATCGCCATGTGCACAAGGGGCCAGTATTTTGGAGAGTTGGCTCTTGTCACAAACAAGCCCAGAGCTGCATCCGCCTATGCTGTGGGGAGTGTCAAATGCTTGGGTACATTTTGTACAGTTCTGTGTTTAGAGGGTTGGGGGTGGGGGTGGGGGTGTGTGTGGAAGTAGTTACTCCTAATTACTGTTTTACTGCTACTGTTTACTCACCCTGCTCTCTATGAAAAGTGCTTTTGAAGATCAGTTACATCAAATCTTAGATCTTCAGCCTTAAATATACCCAGTTTGCAAAATCGGAGGCACTGCACTGATAAGTAAAAATAAGCAAGTAATAGAAGTTATGGGAGACATAAAATGGGATGAAATGGCAGTGACTGAAACATAAGGCAACAAAAAATGGAATTGTGTGATGATGCCATTATCAAGTTAAAATTATTACAATGGTTTTGGTTGATCTTTTTTTTTTCTTTGTTTATTTTTATGTCTCAATTTGCCTTTGCTTCAAAGCTTCTGACTTTTCTTTAGCCCTTTTTTGGAATCTAGATTTGACATCTGGTCATAATCAACTGGATCAGGCATCCCAAAAATGTTTGGTATCGCTTTCAGACTTAGCAGATTGGCACTTGTAAAAATAATTTTCAGTATTTAAATCAGTTTATGTTCTTATAATCTATTTTATCCAAAATACTTTCAGCAAATTTCTGACTTTTTTTTTGGTGAATAAAAGGAGCATTTGAACCAAATGACAGCAGATTTTTGTGCCAACTTTAGAATATTTTTTTGTTTCAAAGACTACTTATTATGTCTTTGTTAACATCAAAATATCTGTAATTAATTCATGTTTAGAGTCAACCCCATACAAGATGGCCACCACAGCTAATCCACCTTAGCAAACACAAAACCCCCTATAACCCTGTCATTTTGACAGATTGAGAGCAACGATTTGATGTGGAAGTAGCTGAGAGTCATTTGGAACACATACTTTGAACACTGACTGATCACATAAAGCTTTTGTTGAAAAGGCATTAACTAATGTAATCAGCTCTTTCTGTAAGCAAAATAGGTCATGAACATTTGAATGAATTTTAATGAACCTTTCAGAAAGCAGTCACTGAACATATGACAAATGATTCCTGTTAAGGGCCAACCAAATTCAAAATGGCCACCACACCTTATGGCAACCAGCAAACACAAAAAGAGACATAACTCAGACATTGTTACAAATATTGAGTTAAAATTGGGTGTGGAGGTTAATGAGAGTAAGCAACAACAAATTCAAGATCTTAGGATGTTCAGAGATGATAACAAAATGTATTTACTTTGTTACGGTACTTAAGTAATTTTTGAGAATCTCTAATTTTATCAAGTATTCTTTTAAATTATAACTTTTACTTTTATTTCGTTACATTGAAAACATAAAAATTATACCTCTTTACTTTAAAATTGAGCATCTTATCACATGCTAAAAATGTAAATATGACCAGAACTTATTATCAAAGGAGTATAAAATTAAGTAAAAAAAAAAGGGGGGGTTGACAATTTCTAATCCAAATTGTGTCAACTGGTTCCACTAAACTAAAGAGTCGAGCAAATTTAAAACAGTTTACTCAACTGAGTTTAGTACTTTTCTTATCTGTGAAATTATTTTATACCAAATGCATTATCTGTTAAGGTGTTTTTACTTTTACTTAAAAAATTTTAAGTTGCATGAGCTCACACGTAATATTAGTTTCAAGGTTTAACAAAAACAACTATAACACTGTCATTTATCGACATAAAATGATCCTAATTTGAAACTCTGACAAGAAGGGCAATTGTTTAAATTAATTTCTTTAAATGGATTTAATTTAGGTTCAGTAAATGCTAAAATATTTCAACGATTTACATTACCTGATTCTAACAACATAATGTCTGCTTCTCTTTTTCTCTCTTTGCCAGTCATGGATGTTAAAGCCTTTGAGAGACTGCTCGGCCCATGCATGGACATCATGAAGAGAAACATCGCTAACTACGAGGAGCAGCTGGTCACCTTGTTTGGAAGTAGCCCTGAGATTGAGCAACAAAGCGCATGAGGTGACCGCAATGGACCATAGAGGAGTTGATAGACAAAAAGAAAATAAAAAAAGAAGAAAAAGTCTTATGTGGATGTTTTCCACATCACTACTTAAAACAGCTTTTGTAAAAGAAAAAAAAAGACATAAATGTAAATATCCACCACACTACATTTGAGTGTCAGGTAAACACAACGTGATACAACGCCTGATGAACAATCGTCACAACCGCAGTGAGCCAAAGCAGAGTTGCTTACAGCTTGTTTAACTCCATTTCTCATGACTTCCACATGAAAAAAAGAAAAAAAATATGTGCACATTTTACTTGTCAGTGTCAGGTGCTTTGTTTGTTCGCAAATGGAACTCTTCGTTCAACTTTCACTTTTATTCAAAAAATCTTACAGCGACACAAACAGTATAACTTTGTTTGTAAATTTCTAAACCTTATGTGTTCTAAACCAGGTGCCAAAGCCAATTCCTATTGGGGATAATTGGGAGCAAATATTTCCCACATTCTCCCATTATTATAGGAGGTGCAGTGGAACATGAGCCCAAACGCGACAAAAAGCAGATTAACTATCCTCACAAGAACATCGTTGGCATTGTGATCACAGCAGAATGTAGTTATACAAAAAAAATGCATCTCTGTTTATCATGTGACCATAAACACAGAACGTTATTGTTGGTCAGTGTTTGAGGCGTTTTGCCCTGTCCTCTGCTTTTGCAGCAAAGCAAACTTCAGAGTAAGCTGATAGTTTTTTAAGAGTTATAAAACACATTACTGTACAATTTTAAATCTATTTACTGTTCCACTTTTTAAAAAAGCCCCCTTCTTAACCATATTCATTATAGGCAATGCATTGATTTTGCTATTTTATTGTAAAAAAACATTTTTGTGTAGGTGAAATATACCTTATTGAGACATATTATTGCTGTCTACCTCTGCCAAATCATACAAACCTTCGCTGAACTGAAATCCAATGTGATTCTTTTTTCTTCTATTGTTTATGTAACTGAAAGTCTTATGTAGTTCTGTCTGCAAATGTTTTCTTACATAAAAATGCTGAATTCTCACCATCACATTCTGGTAGCAAATTCTGAGTTTTGATGGAAAAACTTAAAGTGTCTAGCAGAAAATGGTTTCACTTTTCATGTCAATAAAGACCTTTTTTTAAATTCTGGGTTGCATGATTATTCGTCAAGTTACTGTATGTCCTTGCAGGGTTTTACCAATGGTGGCTCATTCAGCATTATCACAATTCAGTCATTCATTCATTTGTTTACTTGGTCTTTGTTAGAGCTACTGTAAGGTTTTTTCAATGAAAAAAAAACTATAATAAATTTAACAGCTTGTTTCTTGGTGTAGCTATTTGCAACGTTGCAGAGATATGGAAGAAAAATACATGTATTGTTCACGTTATTGCCAATCAGCTGTTACTGTCTGTGACAGGCACACACTTTTACCCAATCATAACGAGAACAACAAATTATGTTCCGCCTTCTTTACGTCGCCTAAATACATTAACCAATAAAATGTCCACATTTCTGTGAGTGACGTTCTTGTAAACCAATAGAACACGTTCTTTCAAAGCCTTCGCTCCCACCCCTCGAGAGAACCCCTCAGAGTTTGTTGATGGCGATAGCTGTGGTAAGTGAGAAGTTTAGGACTTATTTTTGAATAAATAAATGGCACAAACTAATTTTTGTCACGAGCTTCGTGCCATCCGTGTATTTTTACTTCCATTCTGATGTTTCGGTGCGGTTGTCATGATTTTATTCAATGCCAAATGAAAGGTTGAGGTCGACAATGGTTTTTTTTCGCTGTGACGTTCGATGTTTTGACGATAAGAAACCCACCCGAGAACACTTTTTTTTGTCATAAAACAAGTTCTTTAATTGGCGAAATTTGCCGTACTTGACGCGAAAATGTGTTTTAAAGGCTTTCGAGTCATTCATTTTGAACGGAGCAGAGGGGTTGCGTCATGCCCGAACTTGTTGACATTCTTTTGTTTACAGTGTTAGACCCGACAGGCTGTGGGTTCGAGCAGAAAGCTGTTCTGCTGCTTGTAAGAAGAAGTGACAAAGTAGGCCTTTCAGCTCTGCTTTTAGTACGTAACACTTTTAAATCGTTTATTATGATTGCAGTGTCATAAAGACGAACCTTCAGTTTTAAACAACCCGTACCTGAATAGCCGTCATTTTTGCCTGTTTGTTTTTCTGTAAGCTAATTCATTTGCTGACAACTTTCGTTTTGTGTTGACTTATATAAAACTGCATTTGATTTTATTTCTTTAAATTCTAATTTTGTATTTGGAATTAATGGGCGTTCTTATTGTTTATTATTATTATTATTTTTTAGCGTTTTCAAGTTTCATAAGTCCAAATGAGGACCCGTTTTTTCCCCACATTTATCACTTTAGCTGCGCAGTTATGAATGAATGAGCACTGGTGCGCATGCGCCAAGCTTAGTTTATAAACAAGGCCTCCATGCAGCGGGTCACATGACTAGACAGTGGAGACAAAGGCAGTATGGTGGTACAGTGGTTAGAGCTGCCACAGTGAGAAGTTTGTAGGGCTGCCTCCTGGCATTTCTGGGTGGAGTTGTGTAAAATCCAATATGTATCTTATTATTATTATTATTATTATTATTATTATTATTATTATTATTATTATTATTATTATTATTATTATTGTGTTATTCACATAAATCATCACACCATTTTGATGGCATTTACATGTAACTATTATGATTTGAATTATGCTTTTTGGACATTATTGGTTCTGTTACTAAAGCACAGCAGTAGCTCAACTTTGTGAAAGTAATGATTTCTCTTGTGTTGTTTCTGCCAGCAGCTGAGTCCAAGTTTGATGATGGAAGCAAAGTAAGCTGCACATTGACGAGTGTTTACGTAAGAAAAGGAAACAAAAGAACATTGCAAGAATGGATGAGTCATTTGATCCACTCAAGTGTAACGAGGACTTGCCTTCCTCACCAGGGTGCCACATGGAGTATGGTAAAGTGCCAAACTTTCACAAGAAAATATTTATTACAATCAAACAACATTAATTTCCTCTCTAAATTTAGTATGAATAACAACACAATCTCCTCTCAGATGACTTGCCTGAGCTGCAGGAGGTGGAGGAGGACCAGAGGTCTCAGGGGTTGTTTCGGGTGGGAGCTGTATCTCACCAGGAGCTCAGCTGCTCGCCTAACACCAACTGGCTTGCTGAGTTAGCCAACATCGCCACCAGTCCTCAGAGCCCTCTGCTGAAGGATGCCCCGCACAAGAGGTTGGCCCAATATCCTCTGAATCAGCTAAGCCTAACAAAAATTGTGTATGTGACACACGCCTATGATAACATTGATATTTTTAAAAACACGAGTACACACCATTACACCTGAGGGTGTTTTACAAAGCAGGACTGACAAGTTAACAACACATCTTCGATTATGTTTTGTGAAATACAGTGTACCCTGTAACTGTGCTGATTTTAGGGCTGTGTATTGGTAAGAATTTGGTGATAATGTTACATATCACAACACGGGTCACAATATGATTTATCGCAATATATTGCAATACTGTAAGCAAGATGATATACTGACATTTTTTCTCTGAAAGATTCTAATTTTAAATAATTCAGTATAAATAGCACACCATGCTTTACATACATAAAATCTGATTAAATTCAGTTTATTTTTATGCAATCAGAAGAACATTGAACAACAGTGAGAACTGCTATTATAATTAATGTTTTTTTTTCACAATGTCCATCCATTATGAGCTAATAAAAATGGATACAGTGCTTTTATCATGAAATAAAATATTGATATTTCAGTGTATCAATATTTTCCTGCACCCCCACATTATACTGTATTTAGATTAATTTGATCTAGAATATATATATATATATATATATATATTTACCCCATAATTGTGTCCATGCTATTGTTTATGTGCTTCTAGGTTCAAATATTCTTCTACAAAACGTCNTATATATATATAATGCATTAGCCAAGTGCTTTCAGCTTTTCAGGCCAAAGTTCGAAACCTAAAACATCCTAGAATAATTCCAGGGGTTAAAGCCACTGAGATTAAACTTAACACTTGTTAATGAAAAATATGCATGATCTCATTGTAAGATCTTGCAAGATGTGTTAGACCTACTGGTATTTGTTGGGGATGACTATTTGCTATAACTAAAGCAAAACTGGGTCAAAAGCTGTAAGATTGATTAAGTTATACAGTATGTGCTGGCTAAGGACAATTAGCTGTGGCAGCCATCTTGAATTGGGTTAGCTCTAAAAGTGATTCAGTTGCAGATTTATGTCCAGTAGGATTGATTACAATCTGTCCTTTGATTCATGAGATATTTTTTAACAGACAGACAGGGTTGATGGCAATAGCTAGTGCCAATGTTTTAAGCAAACAAGGGAATTATGTGGAACACACGGACCATGTCCGTCCACCTGTTTTCTTCCGCTTATCCGGGGTCGGGTCGCGGGGGCAGCAGCCTAAACAGAGAGACCCAGACTTCCCTCTCCCCAGTCACTTGGGCCAGCTCATCCGGGGGAATCGCAAGGCGTTCCCAGGCCAGCTGAGAGACATAGTCCCTCCAGCGTGTCCTGGGTCTTCCTCTGGGTCTCCTCCCAGTGGGACGTGCCCAGAGCACCTCACCAGGGAGGCGTCCAGGAGGCATCCTAACCAGATGCCCGAGCCACCTCAACTGGCTCCTCTCGACGTGGAGGAGCAGTGGCTCCACTCTGAGTCCCTCCCGGATGACTGAGCTTCTCACCCTATCTCTAAGGGAGAGCCCAGACACCCTGCGAAGGAAACTCATTTCAGCCGCTTGTATCTACGATCTCGTTCTTTCAGTCACTACCCAAAGCTTGTTACCATAGATGAGGGTAGGAACATAGACCGACCGGTGAATCGAGAGCTTTGCCTTCTGGCTCAGCTCTCGCTTCACCACAACAGACCGGTACAGCGCCCGCATCACTGCAGACACAGCACCAATCTGCCTGTCGATCTCCCGCTCCATTCTTCCCTCATTCGTGAACAAGACCCCGAGATACTTGAACTCCTCCACTTGGGGCAGGACCTCCTCCTCGACCTGGAGATGGCACTCTACCGTTTTCTGGCTCAAGACCATGGTCTCGGATTTGGAGGCACTGATCCTCATCCCGGCCGCGTCACACTCGGCTGACCAGACCATGTATTGGGGATAATGCCACACCAAATCTGACCTCAGTCTCTGTAAAACTGAGTTGTAGCTATTTTTTAGTTTCCAAAGCTCAGTTGGGTGTGGTAGCCATTTTGAATGGGGCGACTCCAGAAGTTAATCTGTTGTAGATGAACATTTTGTGTTTACATTCTGAGAGTTTCATTAAAATCTGGCATAAATATGTACACACAAAAACATGGGAAACACAGTTTTCATTTCACCTTTGGCAGTGATTGATTAAAAAAAGACGTATTTCTGTGATATTGCTTGAATTTGTGGAAATGTCAACCTAATCTCCCTTTGGGATCAATAAAGTATTTTTGAATTGAATTGAATGTCTCTTAAAATACACAGTATAACTAATATTTGCATGCATAAAGTGGATTTCTGTCCTATTTTGGCAAATGTATCCCTACTGCAACCATACATTGTGAAATTATATTTATCACATTGTCAATTTTAGATCATCTCCAGTTCACATCTTTGGCAGCAGCAACAGTTTACATTCCTATGCCCGGCCACCGTTAGCCAGCAGTGCACCCAACCCTTCCAGGGGCCACCTCAGGGAGCGCAGGCGTGTCAGGGTAACTTTATTATCACTGAAACCTACGAGTCATTCATTCCCAGAGGCTTAGTGATCATTTCTTCAGAAACCATGTACTGTTCATTCTCAGGCTGTTTTTTAATTATTATTTATCATCCACCACAGGCCAGCAGTGAATCAGAGTCTGGTGTTTTCTCAATGTCCTCGTCGTTTTCTGATGATGAAGACATGGCGTGGTCTCATTCCTGGCCCTCCACTGCCTGGCACTGCTTCCTCAAAGGTTGATGTTTACATTTATTTCCATCAGTTCATTCTGAGTGTTCCTCTGTGTTAACTGGAACATTTCTTGAAATAACTTAATGGAAAATAAAATCTTGCATTTATGACACAGACATGAACTCCTCAGTTAAAAGTAGTTGTGTCATTCATTAATAAGTTTTTGAATACTTTCTTGAAACTTTTACTTTGGAAAGAGTTTTGAGGTGTGGATACAAGATACATTCCTTTTAGATCGATTTCTTAAGAAACACAGTTTTGCCATGCTTTGAAAGACAACTTTTTAGTTATTTTTAACCCGGTCAAAACAGAAAGGTTCTAACAACAACCAGACTTCAGGACCATTTATGGGGCGAAACAGGAAGTAAGCAAACATTTATCTAGCCGTTCTCAGCTCTGGTGTTCAAACAGCAGTATTGCATCGTTTTCCTTCGTTCTCTTTTTGATTTTTTTTTCCACACAGCAGCTAATTCATCATGCTGCTTTGTTGTGTTGATATTCAGGAACTCGCCTGCGTTTCCACCGAGGTCCAAATGTGGAATGGCAGGAAGCTGATGAACTGGGGGATTCGGATGATGACTCGGATGATGAAACCATGATACAATCCTCATTTTCTCTCAAGGTGAGACAACTGATGGTGACTACAGCATGCCAATTATTCTAACTATTTCTTGGACTGGCCATAAGATGGCAGACAGGCTGACAGTCGAAATCCAACAAATGAGCCCTGAATGATTGCTCTCAGTGTTTCGGATCGATGGTCCCATTAAATGTAGCAGAAACAAACTTTTCAGGAAATTAGACATTTGTTTTTATTATAGTCGTGATTTCAGCATGCTCATTTTGCTCTTAAAATCCATACTCCTTTTCTTAAAGTTTTGTTTTATTTACAGAGATATGGTTCAGATGGACTTAAACTTGTGAACCATGAAGAAACAATTTCTTTTGGTCAGGCAATTCTTAAACTGACCTTTGACCCAGGCTCGCCAGATAAAGGGCTTCTAACTGCAGAATGCCGATTGGATCATCCATTTTTTGTCAAAAACAAAGGTACTTTGTTTATTTGGCTTATTTTTGTTTTTGCAGCAGATGATAGAGTTTAATATGCATACATTAAATTCAGTGATATTTTATTAATCTTTGTTAAAAGATCAAAGCCAGATTTTATATATAGATCTGTGATAGAGCTTGCCAGTAAAAGCTTCCACTGACTAAATCTTTGATAAATGCAGGCATTTTAGCTTTCTGTTTAAACAAACAGGTTTAAACTCTAGCTGATTTGTAATGCACCATCTGTTGTTGTCAGGGTGGTCTTCCTTTTACCCGAGCCTTACTGTGGTGCACCATGGGATTCCCTGCTATGAGATGAAGCTGGGAGATGTGTGCCTGCCACCCAACCACCCAGATGCTATTAACTGTGATGACTCAGTTGTTTTTGACACTTTCAGAAGGTACGCTCATTGAATTCTTGTCTTGCTTTGTATAATCCATGGACTTGTGTGTGACACATCGATCGGAGGAGGGACAACAGCAGCTGTCCACTTGCAGTAGAGGCCGTTTTGCTTTTGTTGTTAACTTCATATATGACTAAAATAAAAAAAAAAGAAGATGAAAAATTTAAGCCAGTTTAAATATGTTGAGCGACAATTTGGTGTGGTGGTAGCTGAGTCATCTCCATCACATACTCAAAGCAATGGCGATGATGCTGTATCTTTGTTTCAAACATTGGCATGTTAGTAGAGTGGATAATAGAATAAACGTGCAAATTGTGATACAAGCATCAAATTTGGTGCAATGATTTTGTCAAATCTGCCTGATTGGTTGTTCCAAGATGGTAACCTATTTTCAAGCTGAGCTTATTTCTGCACAGTAATTATGTTGTAATAGAACTATTTAATCAGTTTGAATGATTATTGTATCGATTTAAATGTTTTCTTCTGTCATTAGCCTTGTACTATGCAAATAACACATATTAGTAAGAGCAGTGGTTCCCCACCCTGGTCCTTGAGGAACACTTTTCTGCATGTTTTAGCTGTTTCCCTGCTCTGCAGCAGGCCTTTTGATTCTTTAGAAGCTTGTTAATTTCTCATTCATACAAATCAGGTGTGTCAAAGCAGAGAAGCATCTAAAACAGGCAGTATACTGTTCCTTGAGGACCAGGGTTGTGAGTCACTGAATAAGAGCATTTAACAAGAGCATTTATGGCAGCTTGTGGTAGACTGGTCCAACCATACAGTTAAAAAACTAGAGTGAGCCCCACCTATCCCGTCCAATGCTAGCATCTGTGACAACATGGAGGATCAAAAATGGTGACAACCATTGCCTCACAACTGACAGAGAAACTATTGAATTAACACCCAGCTCAACTAGATCTGTGTCACAATGTTTTTGTAATATATTTACAATAAATTAATATAATCATAATTTGTAATGGTAATTATGACCCAAGCACACGAAGCATAAGCAGGAGTCAAATTGTTTTCGTACTGTTCATTCATTCATTCATTCATTCATTCATTCATTCATTCATTCATTCATTCATTCATTCATTCAGTGATTTTTGGTCAACCGTAGCACAAAAACGGCTGCACCGGTCAACATGAAATTTGGCAGGGCTGTAGACGAGTCTGACCTACACTGCGCCAGCCAACGGTTTTACAATAGACCCCATTTTTGAGGAGGGGGTTCCTTTCAAAGTGGGGGTATCTGGACATGCAAAATCGCTTGTAACTCAGAAACTGTTCAACATAGGAGCTTAAGATTTTTTTTGGTTTTTTAGCTCTGATTAAGCTCTATCCATCAGTGCCCATCCACCCGCCCGGACCCCCAGTTTATCTCAAAAAAGGGGTATGGTTATAGCTCAAAAACTATTAAACATAGATTTCTTTTGTTGTTTAGCGCTGATGAAGCTCTATTATCCATCAGGCCCACCAATCAGTGCCCCCACCCCCCGGACCCCCAGTTTATCTGAAAAAGGGGTATCTGGACATACAAAAAGATTTATAGCTCAAAAACTATTAAACATAGAAGCTTCAGATTTCTTTTGTTGTTTAGCTCTGATGAGGGGCTATCTATCAGGTCCAACCCCCTCCCCCCACCCCAAAAAATAAAAAAAGACCCCCACGCAAATCACTACAATTTTGGGATGCACATAGTAGCATGACATTTGTTAGGAAGAAAAATTTCTTAGTTCTGGTGCATTTGTGCATGCGGGAGTCATGTTACTGCTATGCTGTATCTAGTTATATATGGTAATTAAATTCAACAATCCCGTAAAGCAGCTAAGAACATTATATAATTTATAAATAACGATGAATAGATTTTAACTGGTTAAAATATGACTTCAACTAGTAATAAAATAGATTTATTTTTTCTTACTTGTCATAAATAATAAATAATAAAAATTACCAGTCGACACTTAGAACATTTCACTGTGTACCTGATACTTTAAAGGATAAAACTTGTCTAGACTGATATTAGCTAACCATCTTCTCAACAGGTTGTGTTTCTCTAATACAAACCTAAAAATAGTCAAATATATCATATTATTTAACACTGTAAATATTACATACATAAGAGGCAAAACCAGCTTGTAATATTTATTAATTTGTCCTAAATTTTAGCATGATTTAGCAGAGTGCTACACTCAGTATTGCATTAGATGCTGCAGAAGCTAATATCTGCTAACCAGTTCAATAATTAAAGTGATTACATTAGCTTTATATAAGCTTATTTTAATTTTAAACTGTTACATTATTAGCTTCAGTTCTGGTCAGATCACATCCACATTCAGATAAATTAGATACAATCTGCTTACTTGTGAAATGAGACACGTTTTCCTGTTTCTCTGTTGGTAATTCCAGAACCCACACAGCTTTCAGGTATTTTTATGTACATGAGAGAGGTTATATACATTCTAATATCTTAATATTTTGTTAATGTTATGGTAATAAAGTTTTACAACATTTAAATAATAATCCCTTATTGTTTGCTCTTTTGCCAGTATATGCTAAATCCAGATGCTGACCCGGTCTGGTTAGCACTGCAGCTACAGTGGATCACGCGGTCAAGCCAAACTCTACTGGTCCAACAAACCTACCATAAGTCCAACATTCATCAGGCGGACTAACAGTGATTTTGTCAGCCATTTTGAAAAATGGCCACTATCTTGGATTTTTAGCTGGCCAATCAGTTTCTCCAAATCATGCCATATTTGGTACTTGTATCACACATGATTTTTGTGTAAAATTGGTTTTTGGTTGCTTCACTATGTAACACTTTTTCCTTCAAGGAATGCCAGTTCCTTGCAGATACACTGGTCTTTCAGATCATTGTGCACAGAAACACGCAGGCGCGCACACATTTTGATAGATTAAATGCACAAAATGCTAACATGTCTTTTTTTAATCCTCTTTCTCTGCAGCTACGACTTCACCCCGCTTGATTCCTCAGCTGTGTATGTTCTCAGCAACATGGCTCGTCAGCGCAGAGCCTCCCTGTCCAGCGGGGGTGCTGTCAGTCCAGACTGTGATAAATTGGAGCACTCCGGCTCCCCGCAATCCTCCAGTATCAGATCAAACAGGAGCCATAATTCAGGGACTGCCATCGGTGCCACACCTACAAAATGCAAGCGGCCAATGAATGCCTTCATGCTATTTGCTAAGAAGTACAGAGTGGAGTACACACAGATGTATCCAGGAAAGGACAATAGGTGAGCAGGGAGATGCAGCGCACTCACTCAGTATTTTAATATATTTTTTCCTGTAAAGTGAGCTTGGTAGTATTTTAATCAAAGTATTTATCACTGGTTCATGCTTAGCCCTTAAAGGGAATGTGATATCCCAATACATAAAGGCATGTTTCAGCTTAATGCAAAGTTCTATAAAAATATGTGTGGTTATTGTTGTGCATTGATGCTAACAATCTTAGAAAAAAAACCCATTGAACACCAATGACCAATCTCATTTGTCATTGCTCTCGCCGTGATGAAGAAACAACCTCAAATCTGCAGAAGTTGAAAAGATTCAATATTTGTTCAAAAAACCTAACAAAGTCAAAAATTTTGCCCACAGATGGCCCCTGTGAAACTGAGGTTAAATAGAGTTATTTTTTATTAATAGTTTGTCTATTTTTATTTAATTTATAGCACTAATAATTGAAGTTAGCCTATAGCTAAAGTGTATCTGCATATTAGCTAAGTACCTTTTGAATTATACATTTGGTAATGGCAAAACATGCGGAAGCAAAGAGTAGACAGTAATGTTAAACAAAATGAGTGCCAAGGATTAGTTAATAGTTAAAGATTAGTGGAGTATTAATCTAAAGAAGTGTTTTTATGCTGGAATTAGGGATGGGCGATATGTTATCGTGTGCGATATTCCGTCAAAGACGTTCACCATGGTAATAATTTGTCATCTTGTGATAAAAACAATAAATTCCCACCGCGTGCTGCTAGGCTTTACATGCCTCCCCGCCAGATTAAGCTTCATTTGTTTTTCCAGAGCGGACGTCAACATGCAGAGCATGTGCTAAAGCAGTGAAGCTAAAAAGCTATCGTAATGACTCGGCATGCAAAAAAGCAGTCATGGCTATCTAAAAACTCTTTAGAGTTCAACAATATGTTAAAAAAACAGTAGCATGGGGCAGCTTCATCTTGCTGGACCCAAACAAACAAACAAACAAACAAAAAAAAAACCAAACAAACAAACACAGCTCTTCGTCCTCCGTCTCAGCCACAAGCTGCAGGCTGCACAGCTCATCTCCCTCCACTCACACAACTAGCCCCTCCCTCCCCTGAACATTAACCCTTTAGGGAACAGATGAGCAGCAAAACTCATTATTTTCAGTGATTAGTAAAAAGTCTTTTCTTATAGTTTTATTTTTTAAATTATATTATTGATATTTTACATGGATTAGAGTTCTTCTGAGGTTTTACAAAGATAATTATTAGAACAAAGATGATGTGATTTGAAGATTTATCATATCAACCATAGTCCATTATTAGTGATAATTTTTGCTATTTACACCATTTAAATTATTGTCAAATGTGTTCTCATATTTCAGTCTTGTTTTGATGGGTGTCCCTTTTGCAACACAGGTGTCCTACTTGAACTTAATATAGTTTAGTGGCTTCTAGTATTTTAGGTCTCTCAAGAGAGAATGTAGTGATAGATTTATAAAACAAAAGATATATATATATATATATACATACATATATATATATATATACATATATATATATTAATTTCTACCCCTGTTTGCAACACTGGTGTCCT